AAGTTGCTGTAAAAATGTCAATTATAAACAAAAAGTGATAAAACTTTCGAAAACTATAGTTCAATATATATATATATTGAACTATAGTTTTCGAAAGTTTTATCACTTTTTGTTTATAATTGACATTTTTACAGCAACTTAAAAAAATTGGCGTTTTATACCGTTTTTTCAATCTCACGGCTTTGTTATTGCAAATTTCGTAACCGGACCACCGCCATTTTGTAGCTATTTTTATTACGAACAAAATCATGTCCTAAGCATTTTTTCGTACAAAGTCATCCCGCTCAGTTATTTGAAGAAAACTACTAAACAATTTTTTTTTCACGATTAAATTGTTAATAACTTTTTTCCTGATAAAATACTTTGTCAGCAAATTAGCCTGTTATTGTACTCATTATTTAAAGTGGACCTGTGTAGTTATTTCCGGGTTATCAAGGTTTGACACACGCCCAACCTCTACCAACTGGACTAATAGTGCTTTGAGCTGAATAAATGAAGTATAGATAGCTAATTTTTCGTCAATAATTTTATTGAAAATATTTAGGTTTATTATATGTATATCATTTTATGTTCATTTACGACATACTTAAATTTTTCATTAGCAAAAGATCTACCGATTACGGTTACTTTTTAATATCTTGTGTATGTAATTATGCCTTTTAAAAGTGGAAAGAAGACAATTTGAACTATACATATATGGATTCATTATTATTGACAAATAGTTAATAATTCAATATGTAGATAATTCGAATAAATTTTCATTAAATTTACGTAATTGTACTTAGTAGCCCTTAGGTACAATATTATAGTAAAGTGCGCAAATATTTAGTTTATTTTATGGAAAAAACGTTTATGAGATCTTTTCGATATTATTCAAGAAATAGTAATTTTTCTAAAACTGTCATCAAAAGTCAACATTTACGTTAAATATTCAGTCGACAAATTGAGTACTTTTTGTCAGCTAGCTACAAAATACTTTTATGTTCTAGAACGCCAAAGTCTTTTTCGTTCTAGAACATAAAATAAATGTCAAAATAATTTGTAATTTTTTCGAAACATATTTCTGAATTTATTAAGCAATACCTATACATTTTAAGTAATATAACATGTCAATACAAAACAGTAACTATTATGAACAGGACGATTACAATTTATTTTGCACTACATGTAAATTGAAAGTGCCGATATTGCAGTGATTTAAATTTATGCCAGATCCAGTGCTGTCAGTTATCGTAGCTTTTAGTTCTGGGTGTTCAATGAGGCTGCTGCTGTAATTGTTTAAATTTACTGCGCACGTTGTATTATTGTCAAGTTCCGTAGGCTCTACTGAAGATGGTAACAATTTATTTGTGATTGAAATTTTATTTTGTATAGAATCTTCTATATATGACGCCAGTACTGTACTAGAACGCCACCCTACATGTCATTTAATGATGGTACTATCGGCCTCTGCATCGACTAACAGAGTGGCGGAAGAACGTCTAAAGCAGTGGCCTGTATAAGTTTCCGAATGAGGCAAATTGAGATAAGTTGCTATTTCTTTTGGCACATTCCGTATTTCGTTGACGCCAACCACTTGGTTAACACATTTTTCCCTGACATACTTCACAAAAAATCTTCCACTTGTAGTAACCGCTGGACGTAAAGCACAGTATTCGCGGTATAGTCGAGGCAAGAGGCAATGAAGCACTAAAAAGGCCAAAAGTTCGGAATTTTTTGCACTAAGACGGATCGGAATGCGGTTTTTTGCATTCGCTTCCAAAATTTTTTTGTAAAAAATGTATCTACTTTGTATCTTATACAAACCGGAAATTGCATTGCTGCAGCCAAAAATGCATTAAAAAAATGCATTTTTTGAGACGGATTTTGGAAGATTTGGAAGAACTGTAAATTAGAGTCAGAACTGGCCCAAATCGGGTTCCCGAAGGTTTTCGAGGTCGCCGATCACGATTATGATGTTCAAATTGACCCACAGCCGACCTGGAGCTCAGGAACGCCGATGAACGTCATCTCCGTGGGACTCTCCCAAAATTCACGTGGGTAAGGAGAGAAACTCGGCGCCCGGGGGTTTTTGGGTCGCTGAATTCAAATATGGCATCGGCAAACACCTGGTGCACCGGAACCTGGACGTGGACGTCATCTCCGAGAGTTTTCCTGACAAGATTGCCAAAAAAATCATTGTGGGGGCGTTTTTTGGGGCGCTTGATCCAATTCACGTCGAAAACAACCCCCTGAACACCTGGTGCACTGGAACTGCTTGAGTTCTTCATTGCCTCTAATAGGTATACTTTCATTTGGCTGGACCTGAAATCACAAAGCATCTCGGAGCATAAGTTTTGGAATCGGCAATTTTTATAATAATAATTGAATCTCCTCTCAAAGCTCCACATACACAAATTATTAAAATGACTTGAAATGTTGTCCAAAATTAGTTAAATCGATCGATTTATATTAATTTGAATTACCTTTTTTAACAGAAACCTATTATCAGGTGATTCTTGTAAAAATCTCTCAACTTCCTCTAGACTTTTTCGGACAGTATCCAACTGATTTGCTTTTCAAATATGGTATTAGATTTGAAAATTTTCTGATATTTACATTTATTTGACATTCAGTGTACTTTTAACATGGAATATACCATAACGTCGAAGGTTTAATTTTATTAATTTTATGTTCGAAATTTGCCAGTAATACCGCTTCGGACATTTTCTTCAAACTACATGACTCTTTGAATTCGTTGTAGGCAATCTCGTACTGTCTAAGTTTTTTTTCTTTGATTTGATGAATACATTGTACCTAATTAAAATTGTATTTGTAACAAAAAAAATCCCCTATATGAAATAAGCTCTTTTAAATCTTGTACTTTTCAGGTGTGTGAAATCAAATGGATAATCAAATTCCTTACATATTCAGAAGCGTCGAAATGCTATAGTTCTTACTGATATTGTCTCCCAATATTTACACCAGTGGTTGATAATCAACATTTACAAATCCTTTTACTTATACTTATAAATTAGTCGCCCAAGTTTCGTTAATTCATACCAAACAGCTTTAGAGATAATTGTGTGGATATTATATCCTTGAAAATCGTCAACAACCTACGTCTCGAATATTGAACCATTTAGAAACTTTATTGCTTAAGATCTCCCTTTTTCAGCGCAATATACTTAAGGATCACACAATCACTGTATTTAAGTGACTTAAAACGTACTTAAAAAATGTTGACACTTCGTCCAATTGAAATATAATAACTATTAGTATCTACATATAACTCATAGCTTAGTTGTTTTACTTTCTAATATGAATTAAGTTTTCTTTCTTTTTCAGTCGATTTGCTCTCTACCACTGGCGATGTAACCCTTTCATGGACGTCTCCCATGTACCCTAAGCTGTACTCGAATGACACCAACATAAATCCTCTATCACAACCAATAACCGTACAGCAAGATGCCTGGTTGGGGTCCCTCGTCACAATCGGTGCGATGGTTGGACCGTTTCCCTTTAGCTTCCTTGCCGAGAAATATGGCAGGAAAATAAGCCTTCTGTGCATAGCCCTACCTCACACAATAGCCTACTTGACTATGGCCTTTGCCAGAAATATATACTGGTTCTACTTTGGAAGAGTTTTGGGAGGTCTCGCGATGGGTGGCGGATACACGCTAGTGCCGATGTACATCGCAGAAGTGTCGAGAGACAAGAACAGAGGGGCGATGTCGCAAACCCTCAACGTATTCACGTCGATTGGGAACTTTTTGCCTTACGCCATTGGTCCATTCTTGTCTGTTAGATGGTTTAACCTGATACTGGCCGCCATCCCAACTGTTTGCTTCTTGATATTCGTGTTTGTTGGACCTGAGACTCCTCACTACTTGGTCAGTGTTAACGAAATTGAAAAAGCAGAGAAGTCACTAATGCTACTCAGGTCTCGAGATAAGAAAGAAATTCAAATGGAGTTGGACTCTATTAGAAGTCATCTAAAGGAATACGAGGACGGCCATTTTACAGACATCCTCAGGAACAGAGGACTTCGAAAGGCCTTAATTATTTGTTTGGTCTTGATAATCGCACAAGAATTATGCGGCTTCTGTGCCATCACTTTTTATTTGCAGCCAATTTTTGAAACAGTAGGCGCGCGTATACCTCCTGACATATCAGCTTTGATAGTAGGAATGTCCATGTTCGGATCAAGTTTCTTTCCTTTGTTTCTCATCGATAGAGCCGGAAGGAGATTCCTGACTATTTGTTCCTGCTTTGGGATGTTTATATCGCTTTTAGTAATAGGCACATTTTTCTATCTGAAAGACTTTACCGATGTTAACGTTGCTCCATTTTTCTTCGTACTCATCCTCAGTCTGATTTTCTTCATATTTTCTTTCAATTTTGGTATTTGTTCTGTGCCTTGGACACTCACATCTGAGATGTTCCCAAACAATGTGAAGCAGATATCAGCTTCAGCTGTCACTTGTACCTGTTGGATAATTTCCTTCGTGGTGACCAAGTTCTTCAATGACATGAACAATATCATGGGTAGGGCTGGAACCTTCTGGTTTTTCGCTGCATCATGTTTATTCACTGCCATTTTCAGTATAATTTACCTTCCGGAAACTAAGGGAAAAAGTTTTAAAGAAATTCAAGACATGCTAAACGGGGTTAAAAGTATCGAGGAAGATATTATTGAAAAGGAAGAAATGTTACACAAATCAAATATCATTAAGATCTGAAAAATACCAACAATAAAAGCCACATTTTGTATTTATTATAATGTTGATTTAATCGTTTTAATATTTATACTTACATTATTATAGTTATATTGAATGTTTAAACAAAGTAAAATTGTTTAAAATTGTACATATTTATTTTATATGTAAAATTAATAAAAGTGACTGAATAAATATACAAATACTTAAAATATGTTTTCATTTAACTGTAATATCCAATAAGACGATTCAAAAATACTTTGAACTCATCTTACTAAATTTCTAGTTTGATATTTAAATAAAAAAATGTATGTATGTATGTATGTGTTACAGAAAATTAGGTCAGGTTGCTTGAGCAAAAGTACTGAGACTTATGCCATTTTTCATTTAGACACTTTTTTATTGTACAAAATTACAATTTCAAAAAAAAAAATATTCTCTTAATTTACTTAATCTGAATTGCAGAATTTAAACAATTTTATTTAACGTTTTTAAGCAAGCTCCATTCCAATATTAGCATACATGAAACAAATTAATTGATATTAAAATTATAAATGTATACCAAATGTCTATCAAAGGAGCAAGAACCTAAATTAGAAAGCACTAACAAAACCAAAGACTTACATTAAAATTTTGCAAGAGTGTAAAAAACAAAAGAATCTGATAAGAAATCATAAGCGTGCGGTGGAAAAAGTTGAGAGATCAATGGGTACTACGACTTTTCTTTTAAGGAATGATGTTCACCAAAATTACGCAAATAGTGTGTCCATATAAGATAAAAGTTTGTGCAAAATTTCAATCTTACAGATCGAGTTATTAACGAAGAAATTGTTTTTAGCTTTTTTCTAATTAATAGTTCGGTCTACTTTTTTGGAATACCATGTATATATACCGTTTAAGTAATGACTAATATAATTAAAGTATATTTTTTTAGTAAGTAGTAGGTAGTAGGTAGTCAAGAAGAAATTGAAAAAATAAAATCTGTAGCTACCACGCCGAAGGTTTTTATGATTTATGAGGTAATAAATTTTATACATAGTGTTCTAAAAATATAAGTTTTGCATATTTTTTCATAATTGAATAGAACACGTTTTAAGAATTGCAAAGGTACGAGATTTGAATTAATCTGCCATAACGATAAGGAAAATATGGCCATTAGAATACAGCATAAGGTTGGCTGCCATGTTGGTCAAAAACTTGGCATCCAAGCAACCGATCAATAGATGAGCGTCTTTCTAAAATATTACACTTATGACATGTTCTAAAGGCCCACACGTTATGCAGGGTGTTTCAGTTCGAGTGAGTCAAACTTTAACCACAAATAGAACTCAATAAATAATTCAGAATTGTCTTATAAAGCTAGGGTCTAAGTCTCACCGTTTCCACTGCACATGGCCGTATTGGTCGGTTGTTAAAATCATATTACTGAAAGGCATTTACAACTCTCTACTCTTTCTGTTTAATTGAGTACTTCTTTAGTTTGCCACACTGAAAAGAAAAAGAAAAATTACTCGAAGATTCTTTAATAAGTTGCATTAATTTCGAACAGAAAATTCGCAATTCACTAAAAATATTGTAACACATCACAAATTAACCTTTCGAAAATATTTTTAGTTCCCGTTTTTTTTCCACATTTTTAATCAGAACGTCTGCGGTGACAGTGGCACATTCAAGGGGATGAAAGGGGGTATCTCCAGCTCCTCCACTAATTTTAGTTTAGTCTTCTCTAAAATATGAAATTTAATAGACTAAATTTTACTTAAAATTTCAAATCTACCTTCTATAAGATGGCATATAATATAAATATTATTACTATTTACTTCGTCGCTGATATTCAACCAATAATTTTCTTCCTACAAAATTATTTTGTCTTCCTGAAACTTTTGTGTTATTCATCTGAACATTTATGCCACGTATTTTCGCAAATTTTGCACATTCCAAATTCACAGTGTTGATTAGATTCACAAAAAATGTTACCGACGCTTGAATTTTTATTTTATTTTCTGATCGAGTTTTTGTTAAAATTATCTATATCTTTATTTGTTTGAGAAACTAATATTATACCTACAACTAATTTCTTCTAATTTTTCAAGTAAAGCTTGTATGTACCTATATAGAACCGTATATAACATTTTGCTGTTGTCTTTGAGAACCATTTTTGTTTTTATAGTAATATTTTTAAACGTTGTCAGTAAATTTATCCGGACATTGTATTAATAGATAATCTGCATCTGCAATATATACTTAGTATAATATATAATATAATAATTAAATTTAAACTCTTAATTTGTACATTAATGAAATTATATTTTCTAATATATTGCAGCTGTGTCCTCTTTATTCGTCAGATAATAGAAATAAATATAAAGCAAGAATTTTTTGAATTTTTTATGGTTACCCTGTATTTAAAATTGCGTTTTTGAAACAAACAGTTCTACAGATTTTTTTGAGTTGAGAATTTAGCCCCTATTAATCTAATATTTTAAGTCACCAGTAAGTTTAGGGCTCTGTGCACGCCACTGTGTTCATACTCATCACCAAATGAAAAGTAATTGTGTCTTTTTCTGCGTACTGATTGTAAATAGACAACTGTTTATTTCCCCTAACATTTTAAAGGGTAATACAAAGAAAACATATTTTTTCTTTGTATTTAAGAAAACATATTTTTTCTTTATATTTATTTAGAATTATTTACTTTGTGAAATTCCACTATCTCAATTTATTTATTTTCGTATATATCTACGTAGATATTTAGGTGTTTAGGTGTTTTCTTAATTTGAGGAAACTATTTTTAGATTCATTATTTACTTCTGATAACGTTTTTTTTTTTCTAGAATTTTATAATAAAATTTAGAGTAGCAACTGTCAAGATAAAAATTAATATAAAACTGACGCTTTTTATGACGCAGGACAAAAATAATTTAAATTACCTACTCTTAACCCAATATTACCAATTTTTTCTGTTTGATATAGTTAACTAATACCTTGAGCATCTGATTCATAAAGTATGTAGTAGACAATCTTTTCGAGAAAAGAACTTGTTTAATGAAACAAAAATAGGATGCTTTTTCAACACTTAATTTTTTTCAGAAAAGCTGAATGAGTTAAGAAGTTGCAATAAATGAATCATCAAAAACAAAGCAATACCTTAAGATTACTGTAAGTAAATGTGAAATGGCACTGACTTTTTAGTTGGGTACTTATTTCGCATGATTCTGGAAAAACTTTCGTGATACTTATTGAATTGTCACAATAATTGCAACTATTTTCATTTTGTTTTATAATAGGACACTACTATTTTTCCATAAGAATTTTAATTAATGGGTTAAATTGAAGGGTAATAAATTGAACAAAGATGTTATACAAAAATAAAAAATTGAGTAAGTAATCATTATGTAGTAATATAAAAACGTGGATTAAAATTGTTTTAATACTAACGAATACAAATGAATGGAATTTATGGGTTTTCAATAGTTGGTCCATCAGTTTAATTTTTATACTTCACTTAAGAAGTCGCAAACTTCTCTAAAAATTAAAATTATCTTAAGAATGTACTTATAAATTTGTGTTTCCCATAATTGTGAAAACAGAAGATATACATACATATACAGTGTGTCCAATGAATCGGCACCATATGGGAAACTTTTTTATTGAATTAATTTATTGGTTTTATGAAAAAAGTTATTCTTCATATAAAGTTCTGCATTGCCTAAAACCCAAAATGAAGTGATCAGATTTCAATTTTTTGAATTTTTTGATACGAAGTTTGTCGAAAAATGTAAATTTTGGTCAAGTACAATATCTACAATCGTTATTAAGAAAAGTTGATCCTAATAGAAAACTACGGTCAGATATCCAATATAGGTGCCAGACGAGCTAAAGCCCAAATAATCACGTTTGGAGAAGTCAAAAGTTCAGACAATCTGCTTTTACGATTCCAAGGGCATTGTGCAAACAGTTAATGCACAATTTTATCTTGGGGTTTTGAAGCGTTTGGTGCATAATATTCGTCGTATTCGCCCAGAATATCGCACAGAAGGAAGTTGGCATTTGTTGCACGATAATGCGCCACATCGTCGACCGACACTTGTGACCGATTTTTTTACTAAAAAGCGCATTGTAACTGTCAGCCAGTTCTCGTATTCGCCTGATTTGGCACCGTGCGACATTTAGCTTTTCGGAAAAATGCACTTGCCGATGAAAGGAAAGCGTTTTGTGGACGTAGAAATCATCCAAGAGGCTAGTACCGACATCCTGAAGGACATCCTGGTTGACGATCTAAAATCCTCACTCTACATGCTTTTAGACCGTGCAAATCGCTATATTGATTCGGAAGGGGACTATTTTGAATAAAATAAGTTGGTTTTGCTAAAAAACAAAGAACAATCAAGACAAACCATAGAACATTGTTCTTGCTCTGTGGCTCTATGACACAAGTTTGGTTTTATGATTCAATTGCTCTGTTCCTTGCCACCGCATGGCCATTCACGTTTTAAAGGTTAGAAATAGTAAAAGTGTTTCCAAATTTTAAATATTGTTAGTTTATATAATTTTTATTAGAAGTTCTAATTAATTGTTTTTATAATGTTAACAATATTTATAACATATTTTATATTATGACTGGTTTTTTTAAGAAACTGTTCTAGACAATTATTTTTCAATCCTCAAATTGTAAGTTATCGGTTTAAATTAATAATATTTTTGTATTCCTTAACATATGTTCTATTGTAGTTTCTCCTGAAGAAGGAAGAATCTATTCCGAAAGTTCAAGCAATAAAAAAAGAGTTTACATTTTTCTGTTGACTTTGACTGCATACCCGACTATACTTTAAGACTTTGTTCTTTAACATATACAGTCGCAACAATCGTTTCGCAACTTCAACTCAAAAATTGTCGAGAGTAAAGTTATTTTTAAAAATTTAAAATATTTACTTAGAAAGGTTGTTGAGAATTATATTAAAGTTATGACAGATTGCCAATTTTCAATTTAATCGGCCAACTATGTTTTTTTCTTATTTTTTAAATCTCCTTGGATCCAAAACAATGGCAGGCTGTTATTTGTTTATGTCAATCCCATATGTCGAATTGACATGTTAATAGTATTTTGATCAAC